TCCTAGAAGTGTCCAATACAGTAGACAGTAGCCACATGTGGCTATTTACATTTAAATCAATTAAAATAAAATGAAATTTAAAAAAAATCATTTCCTCAGTCCCACTCAGCACATTTCAAGCACATGGGCCTGGTGACTATTAAGGTATTGGACAGTGCAGATATAGAACATTTTCATCATGGCAGGAAGTTCTGTTGGGCAGTTTCACTTCTTTAAAAAGGAAGTAACCCATGAGAAATGAATAAGTTAACAATCACAAAATACCGGGTACTTCCCCTGTCTCATTCTAGGGGCTCAGCACTTTGATAGTCATGACCCACGATTTATCATATGAATCTCTGTCCCAGCTCTGATACTGGCTCGCGCTGGGACCAGTCACTCGATGGCTCTGAGCCTCAGTCTTCTCATCTGTAAAATGGGAATGCTGAGTGACTTCCTCACAGCATAACATGACCCTTATTTTTCTCACTTCTCTGTGAACCTATGAGAACTCCCTTGCCAACTCTCAGCTGACTTATTTAGACCCCAGTTTGGAATCTCTAGTCCTGCTGTACTTAGCAGAAGGCATGACTCATATTGTGGCTCAGTGATGCATTATGGAGATTTTAGCCATTTTGAAGGATTCGAACATGGCTAGAGGTATGAAGTTCTAATGAAACAAGTGGGCAAGTTTGATCAAGAAAAGTAATCATTTTGACTTGAGTCAGATATTTACCCTGCTCTCATCCTCTGAAAGCAGTCATGTCTTGGGTCCCCTGACTTCCTCACCTAAATGTTCCTTGTGTGGGTGAAGCTCTCAGGGACAGGCTTTCAAGCAGGTTTCTGGTATCTTGGCCTCCAGTCAGTCTTCCTTTTTCCACTTTGGGATTTTGTTGTTGTTTAACGTTTATTAACTACAGGCATTTGGTGGGTGGAAGTTGGGATTTGCCTGGGGCTGGAAGGAAGTTATTTTCTAGGCCAGGATAAGGTGTGGTTTAAGCGTTGAAGCTGGAATCCCCTTCACCTGCTTAATGCATTTCAGGGGAGATTTGTTTTCAACTCGCAAATTACCTGCTAGGATTTCGAGACCTGAGATCCTATCTCCCCTGGCTGTTTTCTTTCATTTCCGATAAGAAAGACAAAGAAAAAAAAAAAGAGTGAGAGGCTGAAGAACAACATTCTTGCACTGTTTTAAATAAAATTGCATGCAGTGAGTGATTTTCTTTATTGTCTTCTATAAAGCAGGTGGTAGTGGGCCTGTACAAGCCATCAGAGCCTCTGCTCCTAGGGAGGCATGCCTGGGACCCGGGGAAGCAAATGCAACTGGGCTTTTACAGAAAGCTCAGGGAACAGCATGGACTTAATGTGTCCAATGGAGCTTTCTAAATTTCTCCACCCTGCATGCTTCTCCACCTGCAAATTTTTCTTCTCAAATGATAGCAATTCCAACCTTCAAGCCATTCAGGCCAAAAACCTAAATGGAGTCACCCTTGATACCCAACTTTCTCTTACACCCCACTTCCAAGGTGCCGTGGAATCCTGTTGGCTCTACTTTCAAAATCTATCCAGAATCCAGCCAGTTACCACCGCCCCTGCCAAAGTCCTGGTCAAAGCCACCACCATCTCTCCCTTGGTCAACAGGGAGAACCTCCTACCATCTCCCTCTGTCCACATTCCACTACCTGGTCCCCCTTTTTCTACTTGCCCTACAGTATATTATCAACATAATAGCCAGATCAGAGCACATCCTCCTCTGCCTCAAACCCCCAGATAGCCTCAAAATGACTCCCATCTCTCTCAGAGTAAAAAGCCAACATTCTTACATGGCCATCAAGACCCTGAAGAATCTGGCCCTGTTAATGCTGACTTTCCCTCTCTCTCCTCTCCCTCTTGCTCATTCCTCTCCAGTCACACTGGCCTCCTGGCTTTCTTCAGACACACCAGACATGTATCTACATCAGGGCCTTTGCTGCAGCGGTTCCCTCGCATCTTCAAGTCTTTACTAAAATTTCACCTTCTCACTGAGGCTCACCCTGACCACCCTAGTCAATCCCACAAACTCTCCAAACTCCCTTGCACTCCTGCTCCCCTTGACCTTGTTCTACCTTATTTCCCCATAACACTTATCACTTTCCAACATACCACATAATGTGTGTATTGTTAATGTATATTGCTTCTCTCTCTTCTCATTTCTAGAATTTTAACTCCATGAGGGTAGGGATCCTGGTCTGTTTAGTTTGCTTTTCTCCCTCCAGTGTCTGCAGGCACTTGGCTCGGAGCTGCTCTTCTTTGCCCACTAGTGACCTAAGTTTGTCTGCCAGTGAGCCCCTCCTGGAGACATGGGCTGTTCAGGGAGCCTGAGCTGAGAATGGCTAGAGCTGAAGTGAGCCCCAAGCATTGCCAGGCAAAAAACGAAACAAGCCAAGGTTATGGGAAGGGGTCAACTCATAAGGGAGCCCCCAGTAAATTCAAGTTCAGAAGAAACAGAGCTAGAAGGAACTGTCCCCAAGCTCATGGAGGGTAAGTGCGCAAAAAGTTACCTAAATGATGGTATAAAAAGAACATAATGAGCAACCAGACAAAAATGAAGGAGAAGGAGGAACAGCAGCAAAAAAAACCCCTTTTAGATGTGGATCAATTCCTTTAAGCTAACAACTCAGTTTTTTTGGTTTTAAGGACTCTCTTATACTCTTAGAATTTGCTGAAGACCCCCCCCCGCCCCCAATTTTTTTTATGTAGGTTGTATCTATTGATAAATCCTGAGGTAGTCAGCCTCCAGGATAGCCCCCAATGATCCTATCTCCTAGCATTCATGCCTTCCATGTGTATTCTCCTTCCATATTGAATCAGGGTTGGTCTGTGTGACCAATAGAAAATGGCAGAAGTGAAGGTGTGTGATTTCAGAAGCTAAGTCATAAAAGGGACTACAGATTTCCACTGGGCTTCTTCTTTTTATTCTGGAGAAAGCCAATTGCCATGGGAAAGGCCTACATGAAGAGGAACTGAGGGCCCCCCTACCCCACTGCCAACAGCCAGCAACAACTAACCAGGCTTGTGAGTGAGCCATCTTGAAAGCAGATCCTCCCTCCCTAGTCAAGCCTTCAGATGACTACAATCTCATGAGCGGCCCTGAGCCAGAACTGCCCAGCCACGCCCCTCCTGGATTCCTGACCCACAGTGACTGTGAGGGACTGATGATGGTGACTGTTGTTTTAAGCCACTAGATTTTGGAGTATTTTGCTATGCAGTGATAGATAATTACTTATATTATTTACCATGTTAAAAATTGAAACAAAAAATATTTAGTATTTAATATTTAACTCATATCAATAATACTGGTATTAATCATATTAATTAATATTTAATCCATTTGATATTTATATGGATACATTATATTTATTAATAAATTTATTACTCTGTTAAAGTGTTTTAAAAATAACATAATCTTGTAAAAATAACTGTTTTCTAAAACAAAATACAATAAAATTTAGTGAGAAGAGCCACAGTGTTTTATATTTTCACAAATCTCTTTAATGTCTGGCTTAATAGAAGACAGCTGGATTCGCATATCTACTTCTGCATTCAATCAGTTGTGATAATGTTGTTTTGGTTGAAGTATATGAAGGAAACCCAGCCTCACATAGATATGTAGCTGGGAAAGGAGGAATATTTTAATAGCCCTTTCAGATAATTGTGGATATTCTTCTTTGACACTATACCAGAACTCAACACATGGTGGTTTATTAAAAGTTATTTGCAACGTGGAATCTGAAACTATATCAATGAACTTTTTGTACTCAAGTTACATTCAAATCCACTTGGTCTGTTTTGCACTTTGAATCTTTTGCTCATGCGTGATTTTGTAATACTATGTATGTGTTATTGCATATTTCAAAAATATTGCTTCCCAAAGTTATGTAGATCTTTTAAATTTGATACACTATTTCAAGATGAAAACTAAATATTCACATCTGTTGATATCCCCACTCATCAGAAACTTTCGTAAGTATTGGGAAGGTGTTATATTCACGGTAACAGAGACAAGTTTTCAAAAATTCTAATTTTTGCTTGCAAGCTTTTATTTTGGCAACAAATACTGTCAGTTATCTTTCTTAAACTGACAAACTCTGTTCACTTCAGAGAAGATGTCTGTCAAATAACCAGTCTGAATGACCGTGGTTATTTGGTCCTTTAGAGTCAACAGGGTGCTCCATGAAAGTTCAGCTCACAACCCAGACATTCTCACAAATGCCTTTCCTGCAGTTTTGTACTTGGGGTACACCAGAAATGCTTTATGCTTACTCTCCAACTCACCACACAGAATAGTAAAAAGACACGTATTTTGGACAAGATGTTATAAAATTAACAATTTTTGCTGCTTCATCTAGGACATTCTTAAATGAAACTGGTTTCTTTTCTTTTTTTTTTTTTTTTGTTTTGTCCTGTGAGTTTGTGTCAATGAAGAATATCATGACTGCCCGTACAGTGTCTGGCACCAGCAATTTTACCCATATGTCAACACAGTGAAGAAGGCAAATAACATGTTGGTATTATTATGAAAATGAAGCTTTGACCTTGAACATCCCCTCATAGGGTCTCAGGGACCCTAGGGAGCCATAGACCTCATTTTGAGAACCATTGCTTTAAGGAAATGAGTGCTGTTCCATCACTTGTAGCATTTCTAGGCGAACGTGCTACATGCTAAGACATACATACAGGTACCAGTTATTTGCGTAAAATTGTAATGGCCAGCGTTTGTTGCATGAGCTAGGAAACAGTTCATTAAACATCAGCTTATTCTTGTGGATGGACTACATATGAAACAGGTTCTTTATTTAAGGGAAGGTGACACATTTTTATGCTTTTGTTTGCCCCACTTGTAAAAGTTGTATGGATAGTGATTGGAAGCTAGGCTCTGAGAAGTTCCTCAGCCTCTCAGCATTGAATAATTTAGATAAACCAGGAAGCTAACACTAGCACCGCTTCCTTTGTAACCCTTTTCTTCTCTCCCTTTCATCCAGTGAACAGTGAAAAGACATCCTTTTCAGAGTAGCAGAGTCCTTCCAGCTCCAAGCTTGAAGTGGGCAGAGGTCTCACCTGGACAGTCACCTCAGCGTGGGACGAGAGAAGCTGCAGGCTCCAAAGGCTACATGTGTTCAGTTGGCCGTGGCTCCCAGAGGACTTTATCACTGTGGAAGAGCTAAAGGCGTTGCCTCTTCTGAGGTCCTCAGCATTCCAGTCAAGTGGACTTACAGCAAGACAGGGAAGGCGGTGTTTATTTCTCCCCCCATGTTCAGTTTAGCTTGCACACCCTTTTCGCTGCCGAAAAGCAGAGTAGGTTTGAGCCCGCACCTGACTGGCCTCAGCTGTTGGGTGAGTGACTGCATAGCTGTTCTGTCTGTGATGGCAGGCCCCATCTGCAAGCGGGAACAACAAGCGCTTGTGTCCGCAGCCCTGGGAACTGGAGACCTTTCCACATCTGTTCGCCTAGTTGGGGGCCAGAGGAAATCACCAAAACCTTCCAACATGGGGCCAGAGCAGGGGGACAAAAGGGGAAGCCTTAAGCCGCCGGCGACCCCGGGTCATATGACCACCCCATGGTCCGCCCGCGTCCCCTTTCATCCCCTCAGGTCCCCAACACTCAGCCTTTTCATCATGCTCCAGGTCAGCAGGATCAGGTTTATGTGAGTCGACCAGAAAGCTTATCAAACGAAGGCAGAAGCAGGTGTTTGGAAACCTCCTCCCTGCCGAAAGCTGAGCTGACCAAGGTTGACGGTGTGGCTGCGGCCAACATCCCCCACTAATTGTGTTTTCTTTCCTGGACCTCTTTCTCTCTCCCTTTCCTCTCTTTCTGGTGTGGAACCCCTGGAGGACTCTGGGAACCAGTCACCAAAACAAACCATTCAAAAGCTAAGGATTTGGCGGCAGGGGTGGGGATGGGGGTCCAAGGCATGTAACATCACTGGCTGAACAGTGGCCCTTTTGCGCCAGAGTGCAGGAACTGCCGTTTGGAGGCATTCAGGGGCTTCCCCCCAGTGGTGTGCTGGAACCGGTTCCTAGAAGCTTGTAAGGATTGATTGCACCCACCTTTTCCCTTGTCATGTTGGTTGCTGGAAATGACCATGGTAGGCACATTTGCATCCCAGAAATCGGCAAGCTACAAACCAGGCTTTCTCCTCTCCAAAACTATTGGGTTGTCGGAAAAGTCATGATGTATTTTTTTTCTATGTTTTTTGTTGCAAAAATGCGTCATGACTTTTCCGACAACCCAATAGTTGTTAAACATTTACCAGCATGCCAGTGCCTCCACTTAGAGACTGTTGTTCCAAGTATGATTCTCAGACCAATTATACCTGAATTTCCCAGGGAAAAGAGAAGGATGTGCGTGTGTGTGTGTGTGGGGGGGGTACTTAAAATGCAGATTTCCTGGCCAACTTGAACTAACAGAACCAGAGTCTCTGGCGAGGGGGAGCCTGGGGGGATGCATTTTTAGCAAGTTGAGAAGGTTATTAATAAATTCAATAAAGTTTGAGACTTCGGGCTTAGGGAGTGGGAGAGAAGAGGGTGTACATCTGGCTCTTGGCATCTGGAAGGGACAGCTGGCTTCAGTCCCAGTTGGCCTGAGAACGGACAGCTGTTTTCCCTCGAGATATAAACTTCATGACAAGAGAAGGAGGTGGGAACTCTGGGGTCCCAGCCACCCACTGACAACATGATTGGTTCTGCCTTGGATCTCAGGATGTCTCCACTTTCCAACCTTGAGACTTGGATTCATGACAACATGGGCAAGGGCCCAGACATATGCATCAACGTGAACAAAGTCACCCTCATTTGTACTATCGATAGGCCCATGGAGCCCAGGGAGGGCCCGAGGTCAGTTTTCCATATTAGCTTGCTCAGGACAGCGTTTTTCTTTCAGATTTGTGCAGGCATTAGCAGGAACTTTCACAACCAGATGCGATTTGTAAAGTAAGGACTTTTGTTTACTTTAGCTCACTCAGCCTGGAAGAGAAGATCGTTTAGGAAGAAAGACAAAGAGAAGAAAAAAGAAACCTTGCTTTTTCTCAGATATGAAACAGAAAGTTTGCAGAGGGCGCAACTCTGCTTTTGACTTATTTTTCATCTACCTGAGGAAGTGGTTCAGATTAATTTTTCCTGAGAACTTGACTGCGTTTCATAACAGGCTGGGAGGCAGGTATTGATGAGAAAACAAAGACAGGCCATGTAACATGAAAACAGAGCTAGTAAATGGAAAAGCTGGAGTGTGTACTCTAATTCTTATGACCAAAACCAACAAAACAAACAAAAAACCAAAAAACAATGCACTTTCCTTGCAAGCATAATGCAGTATTTTTTCTGCATGTGACTGGAGCCCAGAGGAACCCTCCACTGGTATCTGGGACAGTGATATTGGACATCTGAGCTCAAAGCATTGTGAATTCCTAAACCATTAGAACTCCTTATATCCTGATGCAAATTCAGAAATGTAATACAAAGCCACATGTAAAACTTTCAAGATTATATGCTATTAAATTACAAACTATTAGATTATTGGCTATTACATTATCCACTAGAATGAATAATTGAGAGTCAACCATGTCTATGAATATAATTTAGACACACCCTTTATCAGACATTGAGGCTTGCAGCAGTTCAAGTCTAACAACCTGCCAGGTTAAAGGTGATGCCCTTGGGAGGGAAGACATTTTGAGGTGGGGGCTGTCACTCTCCTCCCGCTGCCCCTGCTTCCTTTGCATTATTCCTGCAGCGGCTTCTTCCTCCATTTATGAATCCCTAGAATCTTGCAAACCTCCACCATTTTCAGAATGGCTCCTTTGTACCTGTGGCCATGCCTCTGACTATTATGTTAGTTAATAATAGCTGAAACGTATTGAGCGCTCACTATATGCAGGTTGACTTCATTTGACTGTCACAGCAGCCCTATGAGGTTGGGTCCCTCAGTGTTCTTGTTGGAGGTAAGGCCATGGAGGATGACTGATGCGAGTCAGCTGCCTGTGCACACAGCTGGTAGGCTGAGATTTGAGACAGGGTCTTTCTCCCCGGTCCACACTGAGGGCGGTGTGGGTGAGATGTAAGCCTGAGACTCTCCATGTTTGGGTTTGCTGTCCTGAGAGTACAGAGGTGGATCTTTGATCTGGTTTTCTGTGGTGGCTCTGACTACCTCTGGCTCACTTTGGCCCCGTTCTGAGGTTTCACAGGAGGACAGCCCAGGCCAAGCCCATAGTGGCTGATGACAAGCAAAACGGCAGTAAGGAGGGGGGTCAGCTTCTGTATCTTGAGAGAAAGGACCAAAAAAACACCTCCTGAATGTTCTAGGGTGAGGTCAAGGGCACAATCTTTTCAGGCCAAACCTGATGGACAGAGCTTGAAGTGACTGCAAAAGGACATGGAAGCCGCTCTCGCCATTTCTGAGATGTCCGAATTCTCTCTCTGGAACAGAGCCTCTGGAAGTTTCCATAATCCTCCCTCTTCTGGCTCAGCTACACTTTATAAAACAACCCAGAGCCATCTGATTTGAAGCATGTACCGGCTCGTGTGTGCAAGACAGTAATTACCTCCAATTCCAGTTAGGAAAGCTGAAACCTGCCTTTTTCGTGCCTCAGACAATTATGGAAGCGCCTTTTGAAGCTCTGGATAGAATAGAAAAGCAAAACAAACCAGAGCCAATTAGAGCCTGGGATTTGAGGCTGGCTTAGTTTTGTGCAGCAGGACTCAGGAAGAACTGTGGGAGAGGGTCAGGGGTCACCCCAAACCTCCAGCTGCCAACCAACTTTGCTTGTGCCAAAACAGCCATTATTTTTTATTTAAAATCAAGGCCCCTCTCCCTGGCTCGGGCACCGTTTGCTGCAAAGAACTCTGCATCAGTTGTAAAGAAGCCTCCCTGATTAGATAAGGCCCCGGAATGCATTTGATGCTGAGCAAAACAGTTTTCTGACAGCTTCCCTTACATGCTGTTAGAATGGTTTTTCCTTAGCTGAAATTTGGTGAGATAAACTGAATCCCCAGGACTCATTTGTTTTGGGATGCGTACTTGTGGAATTTATGTGGACTATGTGCCATTTGGAGTTAAGGTTCTCTAGCCCTGAAGCTCTTCTGGGCTTGGCGGTGGAACCTGGTCTTCTTGAGGCAGGCCAGGTGACATCTGCGATGAGAGTGGAAAGTAGAATACCAGGCATGAGGGCACAGGTCAGCAAGCAGCCGCGGGGTGGGCGTGGAGCCTGAGGGCTCCTGCTTCTTTACAGAAGCCAAGGACCATTCTGTGGCGTTCAACCCTGTGCCACAAAGTACAGAGATGGGAGTGAAGCTGGACATGGAGGTTTTGAAGCCAGGTGAGAATGGTCTTGGCCAAGATCTGATCGTGAGAAGCAATGTCCGGGTAGCCTTTTGAATTAATAGGACTGTGTTGACTGTTAGGGCAACGTAGCACCATCTTAGGAAGCTCCCTTTTGAGTTTGGATTAGGATAAACCGTGGATACCAATGAGCCCCAAGAGTACTCCCTCCACTGAAGCTGAGAAGAGGTTTCTCTTGGCCCTGGCATAAGTACTCTACTCTCCATCTGCCTGTCATTCACCCACTTACTTGATGTGTCCCTTTGACTCTGAAAGATGGCCTTTATGGGAAGAGTATTGCTACTGAGGAAAACAAAAAGGGACTTTGCTGGGGAATGTGTCTGCTGTGCTCAAGATGGGTGAATATCAATGTCCTGGAAACGTCAGCATGGCCAGTTCTGTGCCTGCGAGAGAAGAGGCTCATGTCTTATTAAACCTTTGATAATTATAACAGCCAAGATGTATCACAGCTTTCCCAAGTACCCTGCACCGCTTTCAGGGCTTTGCATGGCTCACTCACGTCCTCCTTACTGCAGCCCTGTGAAACAGGCGTTGTCACTGTCCTCATGTTGCAGATTAAGAAGTTGAGATAGGGAGCAAGGAAGGAACCTGCCCAAGATCACACGCGGAATCAGCCTTGCACATAATGGACCAACAGGGAGAGCTACTGTCATAATCCCGGAGTCGCTTAGAAGCAGCGAAAAGTTAAAAAATAATAATCAGATGCTTAAAATTTAAAGATCCAACCTTTCCAGGCTTGACAGACTAAAGTGTATGGATAAGGTAAACCCTGAATGAGTGACCCCACAGAGTGTTGGAATTAGAGGTCTCACTCCTGTGCACTCCTGAAGGAGCTGTTTCAAGACCGAGAAATGTAAGCACATTGCAAGCACTATGCTTCGTACTCTTGTAGGTAGATGGGCTAAATTATACCCACAGGCTCAACTGGTTTTAAATCCAGTGTGCCTAACAGAGTGACCCAAAACATGTGATTAAGAAATGTTCTGGATGCACACTTTTGAGATGTTAGGGCTAAGTTAACTGAGGACAATGCTCACGTTTCCTATAAACTTGTCTCTGTGGTCACTGTTCAGGAGGATTCCGGCTGCCTGTGTCGTGGATTTGACCCCACGGGATGGTTCTTTTTCTAGGTTCTGACAGGGAGCAGAAGCATTGAACCTCTGGATTGTAGTTGTTTGAGTCTTCTCAAGAAGATGGGGCATCTCTAGCTCTTTAAACACCATGTGTGTGATTTCCCAGCCTCTCCTTCAAAGCATGTCCCCACTGAATCTTCCCCAGCACAGCGGGCTGCCAGCTGCTTAAGGCGACTCTCAGCCAGGCCCTGAATGTTCATGATAAACGTTGTCAGCTTTTCTGTCTAGGGCCTGTAGTAGGCAGGATAATGGCCTCCCAAAGATGTCCATGCCCTAATCCCTGGGGCCTGTGAGTACATGATGTTATACGGCAAGGAAGAATTAAGGTAATAGATGGAATTAAGGTTGCTAATCAGTTGACTTTAAAATAGGAATACTATCTGGATTATACGGGTAGTCCCAGTGTAATCACAAGGTCCTTAAATGTGGAAGAGAGAGGCAGAAGCACCAGTGTCAGAGTGATGCGATGTGAGAAAGACTCGATGGGCCATTGCTGGCTTTGAGGATGGAAGGGGGCCATGAGCCAAGAAATGTGAGCAGCCTCTGGAAGCTAGAAAAGGCAAGAAAGGAAATTTTATCTTAGAGCCCCTAGAAAGGAACACAGCCCTTCCAACACCTTGATTTTAGCCCAGTGAGACTTGTTTCAGACTCTTGACCTCCCGAACTATGAGAT